GAGAGAGAGAGAGAGAGAGAGAGAGAGAGAGAGAGAGAGAGAAAGAGAGAGAGAGAGACAGACAGACAGACAGACAGAATGGCGCATGCGGCGGTGTGCGTTTCAACTTACCATCGGACGCGCTAGCCGGCCGACCAACGAGACGTCAGTGCCAGCGGGCGAAACCATGTTCCCTGGAAGGAGCCCAGAAATGTGTTCGTGATGGCGGAGGGATGACACACGGACAAAGCCGGGGTCCACATTGCCGTAACGGCCCGGCGTTCGCGATTTCTCGCAGCGGACGCAAAGATGCGACACATGGACAAAGACGGGGGCCATATTGCAGTAACGACCCGGTGTTTGCGCGGTTCTCGTAGCGGAAACAGCTTAAAGCCGAGTGGGAGCGTGGCCCAAGGGTCAACAACTTCTCCCAAATCTCGCGAAGTCCCCAACACCTACGTGCACGAGCGTACTCATACCGACCGAAAGGGAGGCACAACGCGCGTACTCTCTCTCTCTCTCTCTCTCTCTCTTTCTCTCTCTGGCGTGTATCGCAACCTCCTCCCCGGCCCACCAAACACCCCAACGCACCTCTTTCTCCAGATCGCCCAGCGACGAAGCCTTGCTCCTGACCATCCGCGAGAACCTCTCGAACTCCTGCTGCCGTTCCGCCATGGCCTCCTTCCAGCGGGATAGCTCCTCCGCCTGCCGACGCCGCGCCGCCTCGGTCTCTTCCGCCACCCGGTCCCGCGCGAATTCCAGCCCCTCGACCTGCGCCCTGAGCTCGGCGGCGCGGCGCTCCAGGGAAGCGGCGGCGGTTTCGGCGGCGTCGACCGCCGCGGCCCTGTCCTCCGCAGCGGCGGCGACGGCCAGCAGCTCGGCCCGGCCGTCCCGCAGCTTCGACCTCACCTCCGCCTCCTCCGACCGTAGGCCTTCCAGCTCCGCGGTCACCCGCCTCGTCTCCCGCGCGCACCTCTCGCTCTCGGACCGGTGGCGCTCGCGCAAGGCCTCCACGCGGGTATCCAGCACCCCGGCCTCCTTCCTTTTCCCGTCCAGCTCGCCCCCGAGCCGCTTCACTTCCGCCTGCAACCTGAGCCGCTCCGTCCGCCCCCGCTCCTCCTCCGCTTCCAGCCTCGACCTGGCAGCCTCCAGCGCGCCCCTCCACCCCACCGCCTCGGCCTCCAGCTCACCGACCCCCTTCTGCAGGCCCTCGATCTCCAGCCCGAAGCTGTCGCGGCAGTCGGCGAGCCGCTCCTCCTCCCGGTCCGCCGCCGCCGCCGCCGCCTCCGCCCTCGCCTCCCGCCGCTCCAGCTCCCTCGACGCTTCCCGCAGCCGCGTCTCGAGCTCCTCGGCCTCGCCGCGGAGAGACCCCAGGCGGCCCCGTAGCTCCGACTCCGCCGCCGCCGCGGCGCCCTCGGCCTCCTCCTCCGCGCAGCGGCGGCTGGAGAGCTGGCGGGCCTCCTGCTCCGCCGCCGTCACCGCTCGCTCCCTTGCGGCGGCGGCCTCGAGCGCAAGGCGTTCGGTCTCCGCTCTTGCCTTGTCGGCGTCGCGGTTCGCCCGGGTTGCCGCCGCCGCCGCAGAAGACCGGAAGGACTCGAGGCGGGAGGTCTGGCGCCGAGCGGCCCGGGACTTCTCGCGCTCTCTCGACAGCTGCGGAGGGGAAGGGGGAGTTCGAGGGCGTGTTTGTTGGGCACCGGTGCAGAGGTCATAGGCGAGACCAATGCGGTGAGGGTTGGGCGAGCGTGATCCCGTACGCTCGCATAAACAGGCCGAGAGCACGAGAAAAACAGTCCAAGTCGGTCTGAGGGCAGTCAGGCCGCAAAGCTCCTGCAGCTCTTCTCTAAAGCGAACTCTCCCGAAAAAAAAAACACGGCGGTCCTTCACCACAAGGACAGCATCAACGTCATGCCAGTTACAACCAATCAGCTCTAACCTCGTCCCGCGTTGCCTCCACGGCAACCCTGAGCTCTGCGAGCTCTTCCCTGGCCGCCAGCACCGCCTGTGCCGAGTCCACGAGGTCGTCCAAGCTACCGCGGCTTGGGTTGCCGCCGCCGTCGCCTCTGTGGTCCCCCCCCCGCACCCCCCCCGCCTTCGTTGCCGAACATTCCCTTCCGATTCCCGCCACCGCGCCGCCCGCCGTCGCCGACGCCTTGGCTGCGTTGCTCGTGGTCGTGCGGGTGTTGTATCCGCAGCTCGCTGTGGTTGCCGCTGACGCCGAGGCGGTGGCCGCGAGTGCGGTGGCGGCGGCGGTGGTTTGTTCGGCTCTCCTCCTTGCCCGTGCTGCTGTTGCTGCTGCTGTTGCTGCTCCTCCTCTCGGCACTCCTTGCAACTTCTCGCGCGAGGGAAAGAAGAGCCACGGTGAGTGAGAATCAAGAGGTGAACGCAAAGGAACAAATATGTGCACCCCCCCCCCCCCCCCCCCCCCCCCCCCCCCCCCCCCCCCCCCCCCCCCCCCCCCCCCCCCCCCCCCCCCC